AAAATTTCAATTCCTTTATTCTTTTTAACTCCTAGTCTTTCAATGGAACTGTGATCTTATTTACATATGTTGTTTCTCAATGGCACGAATTTCAACCCATCTTTGCCTTCTTCATGTTGCACACAACCTCTCCCCTTTACTCTGGTCTCTGAGGAAAAGGCTCATTTTCCCTTTGCAAAGGTCCACCTTCCTCCTTGTATTCCAGATCCTATGAGCCTTTCACCTGGACTATTATAGATGACCATAGTAATAACACCACCACCAACAGTAATGAGTAGAACAGATTTTGGTTTCCATGTTTCCAGTGTCTCTCCTCCCCAATTTATCTTCCATTGTTACTAAAATGATCTTTCTACGGCATTAGAAAGATCTCCAGAGTGGCATATGTGTATCACAACAGGGGCATAACATGATCCATTTGGGTAGGAGAAGAAAATATTAGAACTATTTACATTTTTTAACTAAGAAAAGAAAGAAATTTAGCTATATTCATATTAAATCAATGGATTGACCCCAATACTCTTACTCAGTCTGCATGTCAGAAGGTCATATGTCATATACGGCACTGAAGATATCCTGAAGAAAGAATGGGCATTGGTAGCTCATTGGGGGTTTTAACTAAATTAACCCTCATGAATTAGACAAGTGGCTTAAAAGTTTCTATGATGGATTCCAGCTAATATTAATACGAACATGGCAACCAGTGCTTAAAGGTGCAAGTCTGACTTGGTCACACCTCTTAAAACCCTCAGTGGCTCGAGGAATTGCCTCTAGGAATCAAATACAATTTCTCAGTCTAGATTTTAAGACCCTCCATACTTTCCTACCTTACTTGCTTTTCCAGCCTTATTGCATTTCTATTTTCTTTTATGAATTCTGTTTTCATAATACATAGAGAGAAAAAGTATTTTTAAGTTCATAGTATGTTGGGGAAAACTGTGCTAAGGTCTGGGAATACAAAAACCCTTAAGGAGCTTACGTTCTAGTGGGAGAAGACAATCCAGAAATGGGAGCTGTCAAAGCATGGTACCCTCTGGGGCAAGGGAAAGAGAGGCATAAGTCTTGAAATTCAAGAGAGTGGGGAGTGAAGTGAGCATGGATGGCATGAGTACTGCATGAAATAGTGGTCCAGGCCAGGGGCTAAACGATCCGAGGAGAGGGCCACAGGGGCAGAAGAATCTAGAAAGCTGGAAATCACGCTAGAAAACTGAAGATCTTTGCAGTCTGGGACCAGCTGTCCCAATTGATGAGTCCCTGACTGGGATCACCTGAATGACTTCACTGTTGCCCACTTCACTCTCCAGACTGTCCCTCTTCCTCAGCACTTTGCCCCATGCTCAAGCTGAACTTTGAAGGAAAACTGGGATGCTAAGAGGCTGAAATGAAAAGGGCGGGACAAGAAGTGAAAAGTTGTGCGTGAGGAAAAGTGAGAAGACCATCTGGGTTGCGCGGAGTGCGTCATCACAGTAAGATGAGTCTTCCTGGCTCTAGGACCTGTGCTTTATGCACTATGGAGCTGCCCAGCTGCCTCTCACCTTCTGAGATTACCTTTTCTCTACTGGGTATATCTTGTAGGCAGCTAGTTATTTGCATGTTGCCCCTCTCCCCAACCCCTTTCCATTAGAATGTAAGCTCTTTGAAGGCAGGTTCTGTTTTTGCTCTTTTTTTGTATCTGCAGGGCTTAGCACAATGCTTGGCCCACAGAAAGTGCTCAATAAATAAATGCACGGAGTGTGTCACACACACAGGTAAGTGTGACTTACCTGTACTAAGGCACCAAGAGTCCTGTGGAATCAGCCACGAAAGGCTTTGATCCCTGCAAGCTATATGTCAGTTTTTATTGCAATTTTAATATTCTGTGTGCTAAGTTACAGAGCTGAGATGCAAAGCCACGTCTCCTGACTTCCAACAAAGTGTTTCTTCTGTTATACCAACTTTCAGCTCCTTCCACCACGTGTTTGACAAAGTTTCAGTAACTGGCCTGGAGGGCTGGGGCTTTCCTTCTCACTAAGGGGCTCCAGCTCGGGGCTCACACAGAGACAGATTCACGCCTGGGGGTGCCTGGTTTCTGAAGAGAAGGAAGGGTCAGGTTCTTCATTCCACCATCTTGTAATCCTGGAGAAAATCACTTAAAGGAAGCAGCATCGTGTCTGGAATCTCCCCAGCAAAAGAGGGATTAGAAAGGTACTTAATGTCCAATGTAGATCAGGTATAGGACAGGCATTCCTCCGCCCAAAAAGAGTGTAGGTGATGCTGAGCAAGATATTTATCTATTTATTTATCTATCTATCTATCCATTCATTCATTGATTTATTTGTTTGTTTGTTTGTTTATTTATTTATTTATTTTTGAGCAAGATATTTAAACCTCTCAGCATTCTAGGCAGCTCTCTAGGACTGTGACTTACAGAGAAAGTGCCACCTGGTAGAGAGGGTTTTCCTCACCAGGGAGTTCCCTATAGCAATGAAATCCCAGGCACAGTCCCTATCGAAGGATCTGAAGTTGTATTGATAAATTCTATTCTGTGAAAGGACAAATGAGTGAAAAAAAGCCCATTTATGAAGTGCCTGCTAGCAGAGTACCACAGAGAGCTGGTCTTGAAGTTAGGAAGACACTCCTGCTCCCCCTCAATGACCTTCAGTGGCTCCCTATTACTTCCAGCATCAAACATAAAATCTTCTGTTGACATTAACTCTTTTCCTAACCTGGCCAGCCCCTTCCTACGTGTCTGGTTTACCGCACTTTACTCACTCCGTGGACTTCATGGTACAATGACACTGGCTCAGACCCCACCTTCTGCTGAGGTCTTTCCCCATACCAGCTGCTAGTCCCTTGCTGTTCAGTTGTGTCTGACTCTTCATGATTCCATTTGGGGTTTTCTTGACAAAGATACTGGAGTGGCTTGCTATTTCCTTCTCCAGATCATTTTACAGATAAGGAAACTGAGGCAAAGAGGGATAAGTGACTCGCCCAGGGTCACACAGCTAGTAAGAGTCTGAGGCCAGTTTTGAACACAGTAAGATGAGTCTTCCTGGCTCTAGGACCTGCGCTTTATGCACTCTGGAGCTGCCCAGCTGCCTCTCACCTTCTGAGATTACCTTTTCTCTACTGCGTATATCTTGCAGGCAGCTAGTTATTTGCATGTTGCCCCTCTCCCCAACCCCTTTCCATTAGAATGTAAGCTCTTTGAAGGCAGGTTCTGTTTTTGCTCCTTTTTTGTATCTGCAGGGCTTAGCACAATGCTTGGCCACAGAAAGCGCTCAATAAATAAATGCTTAGTATTTGTTGATTGACTGCTGGGTGGATAGGGGAGGCATGAAAAGGACCTGAATCTTCAGAACACAAGTAGCAAACACTTAACTCCAGTTTCCTTCTTGAGTAATTGAAACCCTCTTATTTGCTTTTCCCAGTGAAAGCCCATAACTAAGAAAGCTCCTTCTACTGACAGAGCTACCGACCCAAACAGTGGGGGTTAGAAATTGGATACTACTTCCTGAAATGCTTACTGCTTTGCACATTCTATTGGAAGCCTAGGAGATTGAGAGGCCTTGGAACCAGCAACCCCAGTCACCCGTAATTTCAGTATCTTGCGACTATGTCCCCTTGTGAATGAGACCGTGGAGTCATGCCCCATCTTGGTTGTACGGAGCTGGCCCTGGAGCCGTTTCCCCCTTTTGTGTCCAGATCTGGCTTTGCCCTGTCCTGTTCCACTCTCTACATTTCGATACCACTTTAGGTCCCAACTCAGAAAACCAGGAAAAAGAGAGGAAAGCCTGGAGCTGGGTGAGTCTTTTTCACCCTGGGTTTGAAATGGGCGGAGAGTTCAGTTGGCAAAGGGTTTGGGGGAAGGAGGTCAAAGACAAGAGCAAAAGTCTCAAATATATTGAAATGCTCATGGTGACACTGTCTATGGGAATAAAGAATTAGGAACAAAGCACCCCTCACCTGGGGAATGAGTGAATAGCCAGGGCTTAGCTGATGCCTGTGACCTGTGTGACCTTGGGTACATCATCTTTCCGGGTCTAGTAAAACGAAGGGCTTAGGCTAGACAGTCTCTGGGCTCCACCCCCAACTCTACCTCCATGCTCCTGTTGTGTTCCCAGAAACTGCCAATAAGATTTCAGAGAAACGTGGGAAGCTGTGTCTGAGTGGAGGCAGACTGGAGGAGGCGATACCAGAAGGGCACGTGCACGGTGATTGCAATGAAGCAAATGAAGAAAGGTGAACTCAGTCTGAGTAGTGGAAAAATCCAATAACTGCCTCCTTTTTCTCTGCAGAAACATATGGGGATGACTAGGGAGGGGAGAAATCGATCAGTCCCCAAGCTTTCATCAAGGGCCTACTACATGCCAGGTGCCATGCTAGGGGCATGGCAAGGAACAAGAGAAAACCATTCCTTCTCTCAAGGAGCTTACACTCTATCTGGAAGAGAGAGCATGTAGACGTGTAGGAAGAGACAAAATCGAAAGATAATTTGAGGGGGGAGGACAGCTGGGAGATCAGGGAAGGCTAATGAAGTAGATTTTCTTCTCTTTGGTAAAAAAGGTGGGGGACTAGTAGGTCAGAAGGTTTTCTATGTCACCAGGCTACGTTACTACAATGGTTTTTTTTTGTTTGATTTTGTTTTGCTTTTTTGGCTTAACTTTTTTTCTTTTTTGCTTCAAGGGAGGGTTTAATTTCAAGGAAGGGGACAGAATGGTAGTCATATAATGACAGATAAAGAAACAAAGGGCATCAATCAAACTTTTTTTTTTTAAATTTAAAGAAAAGGGATTAGGAGTGGATGAGACAGGCAGGTTTGGTTAAATATCCCCACAATTCTGGGTGTGACAGGAAACCTGGATCTTTTTTTAGTCTTCTGAAATTTACTTAAAGTTTTTCATCTAATACCTTAAGTCCAAGATGAACTGCCTGGCTTGATTACTCTCCTGGTATTTGTGTGCTTAGCCATGCCCCACCCACCTAGCCTGTCTCAAGTCTCAGATGCCAGGAAAGCTGTTTTATAAGATAGTTCCCTCCAAGACAGAGAAGCAGGACTGAAGGCACCCAGAGGTGGGCAAATCAGTCTCCAGCTCAGCTCCCACAAAGGCCCCAGGCACAGCATGTCCCTGGGATGCAAATGGAGGTAAGGGCAGGAGCAGCCTGGCCAGGAGGGCCGGTAAAGTCAAATTGGAAGGAACAGCTGTTTCTAAGGACCCTGTGCCCAGAGGAGAGGCAGCTGGGGGTAGCGGAAAGATCCTGGGCTTGGCGGCTGGAGACAGCTTTCTTGGGACCTGATGTTGGGTAGAAGAGGGTCTGTGCTTTAGTGTTGTAATAGATGCGTGTTTTAATGTTTGGGTCATTTGATGAACCAAGATTGCGTATGGTATTAGTATGTAGTATTGCATATGGTGGTGGGCTGGGCACTGGAGGACCTGAGTATGAATCCTACCACACCAGCTGGTCACCAGCCCTCTGGCCTCCATTTTGTCACCCGTACAATGAAGCAATTCCCAAAACCCCCTTCTGGCTCTAGGTGGAGGGTCTTGTGTGACTCTTATACTAGTAGGACTGTCAGAAGCGCTCCCTCATAGGGTTGAGATGAGATAATATCTGTGAAGTGCTTTGTAAACTGGAATCGCCAGGATTCTTATTTCATCCACCTTTTAAAGGGTATTTAGAGATGGAACGAGTCCTGGCTTTTCGCGTAGGTGAAGCTTGTGAACTTACACGTGGCCATCAAACTGCCCCAGCTTGGGAAAAGCTTGTGCATTCTCATAGCTGGTCAACGTTCTCAACTCCAGAGAAACCCTGGGATCCTGCCTTAACTTCTGACCCCTGATTTCCTTTTGAAACTTCAGGTGGCGGGTTCGTCTATGTGGGTAGAGTAGGGCAGGAGGCAACATTATTTTTCCCTATCTGAGGGTTCAATCCTGTCAGTCTCGGAGCTCAGGTTTATAATTTAGAACTGGGAGAGACATTTGGGGTCATCTGGTTTACCCCTTCATCTTACAGAGGATGATACCGAGGCTCAGAGAGACATGGCATACCTCAGGAGTCCCATATTTATAGCTGTATAGCTGGTAGGAACCTCAGAAGGCAGCTGCTCCAGCTTCATTTTATATGTTAGGAAATCTAAGCACAGACAGGTCAAATGGCTTACTGGAGGTTATGGAGTTGGAGCCCCCAGCTCCTGATGGACGGCATCAGAAGTGGTCCAAGTGCATGTGTGATTGTGGCATTGGGTTGACACTAATCTTTGAGTCTACTGTTCTTCCTGGGCTCATATGACTTCATTTCTCCTAGAAGAGTACTCTTTGGGCTGATGGTTTCCTAGCTTGATGGGGCTCAGAGGTGTTTTAGTTTGAGAGTCTGACTGAATCTTAAAAAAAATTGTTGATATCTTTTGTTTTTATACCACCTACATTTCCCAAAGCATCCCTTGTGTCTCCCCTTCCATTTTTTATAACAAAGAATAAAAACAGAGAAATATAGAGTTTAACAAAACTAATCAGCACATGAAAAAAGAATGAATTCTCAGTGACTACTTTGGAGGTGGGCAAATATAAACGAAGGGGCATTTCCACTGGCTATGGCAAGTTCCAGGCGTCTTGGGGAAATTACAGTGGGTTTTGTGGGCTTATTTACTTCTCTTTCCAGTTGTCCCAGTTGCACAGTTTTAGAGTTTGGGAACAGTAACTACTTCTCTCAGGTCTACTCTCTCATCCCTCTTCCCTGCCCCCTTTAATAAGGCAGCTCCAGAAAGGGCAAGCCCCTTGACCAAGTGGGTTGTTGTTGTTGAGTTGTTTCTGTTGCGTTTACTCTTCAGGACCCCATTTGGGGTTTTATTGGCAAAGATACTGGAGTGGTTGGCCCTTTCCTTCTCCAGCTCATTTTACAGATGAGGAAACTGAGCCAATCAGGGTGAAGTGATTTGCCCAGGGTCACAGCTAGGAAGTGTCTGAGGCCAGATTTGAACTCGGGAAGATGAATCTTCCAGACTCCACACTTGGTACTCTAACCACAACGCCACCTTGCTGCCCTGACCAAGTGGGAACACTAGTCAAAGGAGCAGACAAGACACGGGAAGACCATTTTTTCTTTGCAGGACAGAAGGCTGGAACAAAGTTGTTTCATTCTTTTTTAAAGGACTGAGGAGGATATCTAAGTTTTAGGGATGAACTAAATCTTTATTTGAGCATTTGATTCATTTTATCAAGTGCAAAACATACAAAGCATTTTTGCAAACCCTAAAACATTGTATAAATATGAATAATAATAATAAAAAATAAATTATTATTGTTCTGGACCTGTGAGTTCATTAGTTTGGGGAATGCTTGGTGAGGACTCTTCCCTTTTAAAGCAGATCCACCACTGCCTTGCTATTTACAGCCTCGGAGAGTTTCTTGGAGCCCTGAGAGGTTTAGGGACAGGTTCAGAGTCATGTACCTTGTATGGATAGGGCCAGCTCTCTATACCCTATGCCAACTTGCCTAGTATATCAGTGTCAATGATGATGATAGTGATAATACACCGATGAAATCCCAAATTGAACTCCCAAAGGTCTCACTGTTGGGTTTTTGGGCAGGTTCAGGACATTGTTTTCAAATCCCCGTCTTTATCCTGGATTGATGATGGAGGAAACATCACAGGTGACATGGAGACTGGGGGAGCATGTACCTCCCCCTCCTTGGACAAATATTCTAAAGCCAAGGCATCTTTGGCTGAAGCACCTGGATTAGCATAGTGGCCATGGGAATAGGAGAGAAAGGATTAGTCCAAGAGACATCACAAAGAAAGAATTGCTAAGACTTAATGTCTGATTTCAAGGGTGAAGAAATGTGTAGTTCGAAATGTTTCCAAAAGTAGAATGGTGGTGGTCACCAACAAACTTTTCTTCTTTCCTAGGACATTTTTCCTGCAGATGTCACATGCTGTCACCAGGTTGATGAATGCCTTTGTCTCATTCACGTGGTCTGAGAGGCAGGGTTGTGCAGTGTGGATAAGATGCTGGATTTGGCACTGGAAAGACTTGGGTTCAAACCCTGTGTCAGACCCTTAAAAGCTGTGTGACCTTGGGCAAGTCACTTAACCTCTCTTTGCCTCAATTTCCCCATCTGCAAAATGAGGGGGTTGTACTTGATGACCTCTAAGTTTCCTTTCAGCTCTAAATCCGTGCCTGTGAACTGCAAGATACCTGGTTTGTTGGATATCCCTGTAAGCCCCAGTTTCCTCACCTGTAAAATGGGGATAATAAAAGCACCTATCTCACAGGGTTATTGTTAAGGATCAAATGAAATGATATATGGGAAGCCCTCTGCAAATCTTCGTAAAGTGTATAAGTGCTACCTCCATCTAGTTAATAATTGTGAATCTGGGGCTGCTTTAGAAGTATTAGACCAGTAAAACATAGCAAATATTAAAGAGTAAATGAGGGAATTTTTGAGAACAAGCTTTAAATAAAACCAAACAAACTACTTCTAGCTACAATTTTATCACTTTCTCCCTAATCTTTATCCACTCTCAATTTGTTCCAAGTTTTATATATCACATAAAGAGTGATAATAATTTTTCTTCCTAACTTGACATAAGCCTTAGACCTTATGGCCTTACAGGAGTGGGGAATCTGTGGCCTTGAGGCCACATGTGGCCCTCTAGGTCCTCAAGTATGACCCTTTGACTGAATCCAAACTTCACAGAACAAATCCTTTTATTAAGAGGATTATTATTAATTATTATTAAGTTTTAGACCTTAGGATATCCTGGCTGGACATCTTACACTCCTTTTCACTGCTGAATATAGGTCCTTTATTTTAAAATTTTGATTTCCAAACACATCCCTTCCCTACTCCAAATTCAGAGGACCAATCCCTTGGAACAAAGAAAAAAAAAGAATTAAACCTCCTTCCCTACATAGAAGCTGATGAGTAGGTATCATTTATATTCAGTGATTCCTTCAGTGGCCTGAAACTTGTATAAACCCCCATGAGCAAGTGGGTTTTTCCAGAGATATCTCTCAGAAAGTATGCCTTGGTGAGGAACTTTTTTTTTTTTTAAGGCAAACACTATTTTTTGAACATAGGTGATAGCTGGTTTTATTCCATTGATGATGTGGAAATGTTCTATAGGCAGTTGGGTGGACCATGTTAGAGTTACAGGGTTGACCTGAAATAGTCTCAAGTCTACCTGTCAATGTGGGATTGATTGCCCCAGGGCAATGAAGGAACTGATGAGATGCTTCTGGACTGTGGTTACAGTCTGAGTTGGAATAGGTGCGGTAAGTTAGCCCTTCAAGTGCTTAGGCAAAGTCTATGCAAACTTTAAAGCATTATGTTATGCAAACTTTAAAGCATTATGTAAACGTATGCTATTCTGAAATGTATGCAGGCTGAAAAAGAGAGATTACTGTTTGAGGCTGTTGTCAACAGGTATCAGGAGTCTTCTCGGTTCCAGTGTTTGTTAGCGTGAATGTGCTGAGTGATCAGCTCAAAGTGTGAATTCATAACCTGGTGGTTCATAACCCTGCCCTGTGGAACAGAACCTTAGTGAGGTAGAGACCCAGATGTTGAGGACAGGTGTGAGAGGAGAACATTTTTAGGGGTAAATACTTGGAACGGGTTTCTTGTTGGGCTCATGGGAAATGGCTCTAGAGCCAGCCAAGATTGGTAACTTGATAGGAATGAAGGAGTGGGTGGAGTCTGGCTCTCAGTAACTAAAGATTTTGGTGGGGTACTGAGCCCTGAGAGCATTCACTGGGCAGATTTAGCTCCACGTCCTCTTGGTTACCAAACAGGGATGGTGAATTCTGAGACCACTCCCTCCTCTCTCCCCTATAGTTTACCAACGGCACAATCATATCCTCCCCTAAACAGCATTTCTTAAACAATGGTTTCCCAGAATTTACAATACAAGAAAACTTAGAAACACAACAAAAACGTTCATAGTATCATGAATTTAAAAAATGAAATAAAACTTATTCTTTGATGACATCAAATCAGTCAAATGCATTCCCAAATTATCTTACATAGAAAATCATTCCATCACAATGGCTTTTAAACTTGTAATCCTTATAACTTGGAAAAGGTTTAATACCAAACACATTTCATTAAAGACAGAACCAGCAAAAAAAAAATAATATATACATGA